AAACATGTGAAATATTATTTATTATTTAGTTTAAGTTTTTATTTATAAATCAAATATTTAAACATCGTTTATTATAATAAAACAAGACCAACGTAATACGCCCAAAGTTTTGTAAATGGAGTAAATATAAATAGGTACTTAAATGATGGCAAAAATAAAAGACTTACATTATATTTTTAGGGCCACAAACAAAAGGAATTGTCTAATTAAAACACATATAACAAATTATAGTTTGAAAAACGTTTTGATAATCATTTATTTGACAATATTATGATTGGCGCTATGACAACGACAATATTTTTTGAGAATTTGACAATAATATGACAATGACCGTTGGAAACCATGGAAACAAAAAAATTCTGATTTAACGCCATCTGGCAATAACTAGTAGCAACGTCTTAACCTAAAAATTAATTGCACTACCACCTAGTGGCTAGGGCTGGAACTATTTTATTTGAAATTTCCGTGGAAACGGTGGAACCGCTTTTGCTATTTCACTTTCCCGCCCCTGTTTTTATGTTTTTTTTTTTAATTTTCTCTCAGACTGCATGAAAATTTGGAAAAGTATAAACACACAAGAAAACATTTAGAACAAACCAAAAAATTTGTAAAGAATGCATTTTCCTAAAAATGTCAATATTACAAAGTTTTTCCTCTTTTAAAGACAATCCAGGGACATACTGTAAATGCGGACTATTCCTGTGACACTATCATTGTCTTTGCTATGCATTTTTAATCCTTCTCTTGAAACGCTCCCAATAATTAAACTTCACTCTAGACTTAAAGGAAATTCAGTAATTATTTCTAAAGCATAAACATAATTACAGCAAATTGAAGTGGATATTCTGTATAATTATATTTTTATGCATCGAAAATAGATTTAATAGTAGCTCACAAATATAAGGAGGAAGCGAGTTTTCTTTTTTGTGTAAAAGATATTTCAATGCTATGCCGGTTTCTCTGATAAATATTCTGCTCCCTCTCTGTCATTTATTTACTCTCTTTCTTTCAACTTGTAAGATGTTTTTTTATACTACTTCGAATTATTAGAGAGGTTAATATTTCTAAAACATCGATTTTTTGTGCATCTATCAATAATTAAAATAATGTTGTGAAATGAATGAAACACATTTTAGACATATTTTGCAAAAATATTTGACATGACTTAAAAAAATTACCTAATGTTACTAAATAAACATATGTACTAAAAAATATACTGGTAATCTCACAATAATTGAAATTTGTTATTATTATCAAATTCATTATTTAGAAAAATATATCGGTATTTTAATATATCAACGTATATTAATTACACATCCCATCTCTATTACTTATTTAAATGAAATACGGATATGTTATTTTAAAAAATGCCATTACCAGACATGCACATTATCGAGATAGAAACGAAACAGCTGTCAAAAGAAGCCAGAGCAAATCTCTTCCTGTTTTATTTTATTTTTTATTCTCTTTTCCTGTTTTCATTTCTCGTTCCCGTTTTTGCACCTTGAGCAAAAATAAATTTGTTTCCTTATTTAAATAGATCCCGACGTTCTTGAAATGATTTAAAGTAGAGGAAATGACGATAATAAGGAACACGTTGCTTATAAATTGCGTCTTATTTGATATTCTAGTGTATCTAATTATATTCTTTTTATATAGTAATTTGTTTATCATGATTCCGTATAATTATATTTTTACGCTTCATTTAGAACCTCGAATTTAGTAGAATAAATTAGTAGGTTCAATTAACGTAGCAGTTTGTTCCCCTAAATTCAATGTAAGTATTAAGTACGTTAAAATTAGAGGTAGTAATTTTCAATTAGTAGAAAAAGTTTACAAAACTTTTAATTTTTTCAATTAATTATATTGCAAAATTTGCAAGGAATGTCATTTTGGCTTTTCATTGTTATTCGCCAAAGACATTGTGGTTAGAAATTAAAAGTTTACTGTTTTATAAGCTAATTAGATGGGATAAACTGATTTCCGAAAGCTGTTGCTAAGATATCTTATTAATTTTAATTGTATTTTTTTGACATTGTGAATGATCGTAAATTCATAGGTAGAAACAGTACAATATGATAGAAAAACATACGGCGCCAACGATGGCTATGAAATGAAGATAGCTCCCGTTTTACATGTAAAATATAATTTTACATGACTATAAATGTAAAATATAATTTTTTAGCCAAATGGACGCGGTTTTTTTCGACCATACTGTAGAAAATGTCGCCTATCTTAGTAAGCTTTTTGAATTTTAGGACTTAAAAAATCAACTATATGAGGGATGTTTTTTTTTTAATTTTAATGGGGGATGTTTTTTTTAATTTTCTCTAAAATGGTATGGACATTTGGAAAAAGCAATAATAAATAATAAGCAAGATTTTTATGAAGAAAGTATTTTTCTCAAAATGTTAATAATAAAAAAGTTTTTTCTCTTGTAAAGACAATTCGAAGACATACTGTATTTTTAAAATATGATTTTTTTAGTTTATATTCAATGTTTGTTTAATTGGGAATCCAATATTATGTCATTTCAGACTATGGCTGAATTAATATAATCAGTAAATACCATATTGCAATCCAATAATAATTAGTAATGTAACTAAATGTAATACACATAGCTAATGTAATAGATATGGGACCATATTAGTTGATAATGTTATTAGGAAACATATATAGTGTTACCACTTTGTAGTTACGGTTAAGGGTATGTAGTTAAGGGCTTTAAAGCTGTTTTAGATTATTAAATTTCATGTTTAATTACATCAAAAATATTTTTTTTGCCATCTTAAACGTGTAATCTTAACCAATAAATCATATTGTACAGAATACTTATCTCTAATATTTCTAAGTGTATTTTTAAAGTAGGTACAATTTGGTTGGAAAAAACTGGCACACGCGCTTAAAATTATGAATTCAAATACAATTAAAATGAATAAAGGTACCTACTTCAAATTGATAATTTTGGAACATACTTAAAATTTTCTAAACAATATGAACTAATCTCAGACATGTCACTTTCCAAAATTTTCATAGAACAAAATAGAAATAAATATAGAGTGATATACAGGGTGGTCTGAACTGTATTCCGGAAACTTCGGCGGAATATTCTGCACATAAAAATAAGTAAAAAAGTTTGTATAAATGTATGTCCTAAAATGGCTAGTTTCGGAGATACAGGGTGTAGAGGTTTCATTTTTATTTTGATCTGTTTTAGTTTTCAGAAATTATTTTGTCAAATAATTTCTGAAGTAACGTCAATAATTGGATGCAAATTGGTACTTAGGAGTTTTTTGACATGAGAAATTTGATTTTGATGTCAATATGACTCCTACTTGTAGAGGGCGCTACCTACATATTTTTTAACTGGTCTGAAGAGTAATAACTTTTCGTCCGTACCTGTATAAAACTACTGAGTAAAAAATAGACATTTGCGTCATCTTTTACGTAGAAAGTGTCTCTTGGTAAAAATCGCTACGAGTAATGGTTTTCGAGATATTTGGAATCAAATTTATCAAACCCTTCGTTATTGACATAAATTAAACATGTTGACTAAATAGTTATTAGACTGGAATCATAACTTTGAAATGTTTTTGTGCTCAAAAGTTCAACAAAAACTGTTTTATTGTCATTTTTTCGAAGAAAAATTTATAATTAATAAAAATAATAGAAAGTTCCCAAATTTATCACTTCTATCAAATAACTATCTACTCAACATATTTATTTTTTGTCAATAATGACATGTATTGACTATTTCTATTCTAAATATCTGGAGAACGGTAGCTCGTAGGGATTTTTACCAAGAGATATTTTTTACGTAAAAAATCGTGGAAATGTATATTTTTTCACACAGTAGTTTTATACAGGTACGGACAAAAAGTTATTACTCTTCAAAGCAGTTAAAACACATATAGGTGGCGCCCCCTACAAGTAGGACTCATATTGACATCGAAATCGAATTTCTCACGTCAAAAAACTCTTAGACGCCAATTTTCATCTAAATATTAATGTTATTTCAGATATTATTTGGAAAAAATTGAAATAAAAATGAAGCTTCTACACCCTGTATCTCCGAAACTAAGCATTTTAAGACATACATTTATATGAACTTTTTTAGTTATTTTTATCAGCAGAATATGCTGCCAAAGTTTCCGGAATACAATTCGGACCACCCTGTATATTTTTGAGAAGTTTATGGGAAGTCAGATCATATAATTTGTAAATATACAGGGTGCTCTATTTAAGAAAACATAACTTTGGTTCATACCTTTAAAAATATTCTATTCGTAGAATAACAGACTACGCCACTGTATTCTACGTTAAAAGTTCTACAATGAATAGTTTTCATCCTCTCGACGCCTTTCACAACAACAGAGATACGGAGATATACCAAATTGCAAAATTTAAAAAGAAAACCCGTAGCTCAGAAATAAAGAGGGCTATGAACATTTTGTTTGCAGCATCTTTCGTTTGACAAAAAAATGGAATAAGTTTGTGGAAACTGCACCTTTCCATCTTCACTAATAACGAAGATACCGTATGATTTTTAACTAGAAAGAGACACCCTGTCCACTCTGGATGAAACTAAAAATAGAATCAATCTGCACTTACCACATTGGATGGTTCCTTCAGGATAATCATTAAAAGTGAAAAATGTAAATGAGTCTTAACGAAGCCTCGAAGTCCCAACGCCTTAACAAATCTTCCTACACAAAATCTTTTAACACGATATTATGAATAAATAATTTGTTCACGCTTAAATATCTCGTAGTTATTTGCAAATATCTCAATTTTGGGCAATATCCGGAAACTGACACTTTTAATAAAACAACATCGTATATATTGCTTATTCCTCGGAACCATACATCTTGTATTTTAAAAGGATGGCTAATATATCTCAATCAATAATCCTTACTGCTATTCTCCACATCACAATGTGCAACGTGTGCAGCGAGAACGAGCTCCAGCTCGACAATATTGCTCCGGAGCGCATAACTCACCTGTTCTGCATGGTCCGGAATTCGCACTGGCAAACCTCCAACCACCATGTAGGCATCGCCGATCGTTTCCACTTTATACACGTTGTAAGCGTTTATGGTTGCGTCGAAGCAGGTATACAGGTCGTTGAGCAAATCGACTACCTAAAAGCAACAAGAAAATGGTTATCGTATGTTGAAAAATTATGATAAATATTTAACCATATTGATGTTAAAGTAATAGAGAGCAGCCGGTCAGTTAGCAAAGGTTACTTACACGCCGTTTTTTTCTGCATCATTACATATACAGGGTGTGTCTTAAATAAGTACAAATATTTTCAGGGCTGGTAATTCCTGACAAAAGAAACATATTTTATCTTTACCGTTTTTCTACGGTAAAATCTACCGTTTCTCTAAAATTAACCGAGATATTTTACTTTAAAATAAAATAAATGATGAACCACTGGATCTTTTCTAGGTTTTCCTTCTTATCAATTTAATCTACTACCTATATTACATTCATATTATCAAGAAATTATGATTTTTAACTAAAAATTTTAAAAAATTCAAATTTTTATTTTTTTGACGAAAAAAACTCATAGGACGTGTTTCTGGGGTCGAAATATTCTACCCCAGAAACATTTGCACTTATTTAAGACTTACCCTGTATAATTAAAAGAACGAATTTTTCTTATTTCTTTTTATAAAAAAACACCTTAGACACCAATCATGATTTAAAAAGAATTTTAAATAATTTAAAGCAATTTAAATCAACAATGCTGTTTTAAACGCGTTTAAAACACTTGTTTTTACACAAAACGCTTAAAATATATCAACCCTGCTAGGGGAATATGCAGAAAAAAATACATTTATTACACACATATTGTCGTAAATGTTATATAAAGTTTTTTCCAGCTGTTTTCATCTGAAATAAAATCTATTTATAACTCGTTAATAATTTATGACTAATAATTTTTCAGTTAATTTCAAAACCCAAAAAGTATCTCTGTGTATCGAGAGGAGATTTGATAGAGAGAAAAATTGTCTATCACTTAAATTCAGAAACAAATTATATTTTTTGAATGTCGTCTGACAAAATCTTCCCAAATTCATTGGACATGCTTTACAAATATATAAAACATATTATATATTAAAAAAATCAATAGTATTGGCGAATATGATTCTAGAATTCTTGTTCTTAAAATAATTAATATAAATTGAAACAAATTTATCTTATATCTTAAAAAATTATGACTAGTACTAAAGAAAACTAATTTTTTTATAAGGATTGTATAAGGTATATTAATATTTTTTGTTAGTAAATTACCTATATCTTACCTTCTTTAAACAAAAAATAAATATAATATATATGAACATCTACTGGAAACGTACAATCTAAAAATAAAAATAAATAAAAATATATCAATTAAAATATAAAAAATAGACGAATAAACTACTGTGAAATAATAATTGTAAATAAATATAAAAAAAGCAAAATTAATACAGACACAAAACGATAATTGTATGAGGTATATAAGTAATAAAATATTGTATTTTCATTATACTTGCCTGAAATGGTGTCGAATGAGCGGATATTGTAGTAAAACCTACAATATCAGAAAAATAAATAGTAACTTCTTCGTATTCTTCAGGATCGACAGGCATGCCCAATTTTAGTTTTTCTGCAACATAACTGAAATAAAACAGCGAATTAATATCTTATAGCGCTCTATATTTTGTATAGATCTTTCATATTTGCAATAAATTAGTATAAAAAACTGATAATAATCCAAAATATAAGCTATTTCATTTCTGTTTAGACTGAACAGCTTATTTTTATCCTTTAATCAAATAGTCGGAAAAGCAAATTTTAATCTCAACAAAACAAACTCCTACATATAAAAATCTTATTCCAGTCCCCAATTAAGTGTTCATAAAAAGAAGAAACCAAAAGCACCGCAGAAAAGAATCTCAAGAGATCAAAGTATAAAGATCTCAGGGCCGTGAGAGGGCCACATTTATCTAAAAATAGAGAAGAAAGAGCATTCGGGTTTAACACTAATCCACCCGCCCATCGTTCATCGATTCGGGACCGACGTTCAAACAAGATTCTTGTCATTTCGAGGAAAAGAATAAGCCGAGCCCTTAAGTAGCCCTGTGCATACAATGGAAGGATTTTTATTAGTATTTTATTTCGAGTGTATTAAACATTCTCTTTCTAAAACAATTATTGAGAGGTGAAATTAAAATCATAAACTCAGGTCTACAGTATCTTGAAGCTGTGAAAAAATCAAACTTAGGTACTTTATTATATTATTATTATTTATTTAGGTACTTTAACAACAGCTAAAAATATGACGTTAATGAAAGTTAATAATAACCATCTATCATAAATAAAAGAAGTTTACATTTGAAAGTGCCCATGAGGACTAGTGATGGGAAAAACCGATTAATTTCAATATTCGAGTACTCGAGTTTAAAGCGATTGCAATAACCGAGCGATCGCTCGAGCGAAATATCGCTCGTATTTAAAAATACGGTTTTTCGTCCGTCGCTTGTTGTAAGTACTCGTTAACGCCAAGCGCCAAGCAGTAAGTTGCGTGCGCAGGTCACATATTTTTTCGGTGATGAATGGCAAGCAACAAGCGACGAGCGATTCGCTTGATCATTTGATTTTGTTTATTTCAAAGCATTGTCGATGTAGGTCGTAAAATTTTGTCTCTCAGATACGCAACGGATAAATATAATATATACGGCGTCGTATAAATTTGCTACCTGCAATGTATGTAGAAAATTCGCTCGGCTTTTTATCGAGTATGTATTAAAATCGGATTTCAATTTGTTTCATTCTAGGATCGCTTGCGTTCGTCGCTCGTAACTCGTCACTTCCATCGCTCGTACTAGAGCGAATTTTCGCTCGAAGATTCTGACTTTGACAAGAGAAAATTATTTCTGTTCTTGTTTGCGGTTGTTCTTTGCAACCACAATAGCAGCGCCCTACAACGTATGTGCTCCAAAAATAGCCTAGTTAGCCTAGTTACCAGAGTACGAGGACCAGGTAAACAGGATCATCAATGTCATTCATAGGCTCAGAATCTTAGAGACAGGGCAAATACTTTTTTATTTTATTTTCGTTTATATTCTGATAGTAAAGTATTAAATAATTCTGGCGATTCAAAAAAAAAACAAATATTTACTATCAGAATATAAACGAAAATAAAATAAAAAAGTTTTTGCCCTGACCTCGAACTCTGACTCATCGCTTGATAGGCGAAACCTCTATGCACTGAGCTACAGAGACTCGATCGGTTTATATTCAATACTAGAATTTAAAGGACTAATAAAAATATAGAATCTTCTTTCAATGCGCAGTAGGGAACGCAACGTAGCCAGATGGGCCGTATGCTGTTCTAGAGAGCATAGTAAAAGATATATCAAAGAGCCAGACGTCTTAAAATACTTGTTTTTCCGATGTTGCTAACTCTCGTACTAGAAGAAGAAGCAACAGAACACAAGAGAATTAGAGAGCTATAATATGGAGGGTTCAGTCTCCAAGTTGCTAGACTTTTTGAAAAGGATAGGACTCGAAAATGTAACCTAATGATCAGAAGAAAACCAAAACAGATCTGAAAAGTCGCAGTGGATCAGGTCTATAATCTAAACTAATATAATTCGTGTGGATTATAAATAATATAATCTGAGCTGAAAGTTAGAAGATACGCGTTAAATTCCCGCGTAATTATTTCATCGAGAAAGTGAAAAGGCCGACGTTGTACTGGCGCCTGTTGGCCGTCGTTTGGCGAAATTCCCGGCGGCATCGGCAGCAACAGAAACGACAGTATCGGTCGTTGCCGGTTTTTACGGCCGACTTTCCGGGTCCCGAAGCAGACTTGGAAATTGGAAATGTCTGGAAATAGAGGAAACAGCCGAGAAAGAAGGAGCAAAACACCGAATTCATTTTAATAAATTTTGTTCCCGAGCCTGTCTATTTGGGCTTTTTTGATGTGCCGTATTTCGAGAACGACATCGTAAACTTTTAATTTGCTTGGATTTATGGTGGGTTAATTAATTAATTTACTTAGGTCTAATGAAAAGTGATTTTTATTTTATTAAACTATAGATAATGTTTATATTCTTGTGGCGAGTTTACTGCTGAAAATCAGATGAGGAACTTTGATGCCACTGAAGCAGAAAAATATTTATTTTTTATAAAAAATAAATATTTTTAAGATTAAACAGATTTTTAATTATTATTGTACGATTTACATCGATTATTGAACTATTTCTAATATGTGCCTACAAATTTGTACGAAACCCTGGTGGGCAAATTCGACTTTGGATTTGTCTATATTTTTCGATAAGACGGTATTTATTTTTTGCAAAAAAAGAGACTGAACAAATGAGTGGGTTTTATATAAAGAGCGATTTTCGTTTTGCCGTTCTTTCTTTATTATCAAAGTAAGCACCAGTTTAGCAATAATTTTCTTTAGATTTTACGTTCCTAAATAAATAGTTATATTTTCTAAAACACAATTATTGCCTTAATAATGTTACAAGTGATCTTAAAATCGTTTCGTTAACAATCTGAAATGAAAATTTACCCACGTCTCCGCTACTTTCAATTTTAAAAGCCAACAAGCGCACCCGAAAATTAACCCTTGCAAAATTAATATTACGTCTTCTACGTCTGAAAATCTTGCAATTCACTCGTTCCAAAGTCTTTCTCTTTTATACCGCAGGTCCTTGGAGAATATTAAAACACTCTCCAAGTCGTTTTCAACTTTTGCTTTACATCCTTTGTATTATTTCTTCAGCGAGACTGTCTAAAATGTCATGTCGTTCTAACGGATATAATTTTATTATGAGTAGGTACTGACTTATAGGTCTTTAATGCTTTTTAAATAAATATTTTTGTATTTAAAGCATCAAAATCCGCTAGTTCAGTACTTATTTTTTTGTAAAATACCAGTGGGTTGAGAAGCAAATAAACGAGCTGTTCGGTAGCTTTTTACCTTTAAAAAAACTTGCCAATCTAACAAAAAAATTGGCGCCGGGAGGCACGTATAGCCGCCCATACTAAAATATGTTAATATCTCGAAAACTGCGACTTTGACTGATTTTGATGTTATTACAAATTTTGTTGCAAATATTATTCCTAATCTTAATTTGAAAACCGCGTTTCGCTAGCTACTGTAATTTTGGGGTTACGATTTTTTTAAATTTTTAACCCCCTCCCATACCCCCTTACCAACCCCCCACCTCCACCAAAAACTAATGGCCAGATTCTCGGGTGCCACAGTATTTTTGTGCCAAATTTGGTTAAAATCGGTTCAGCGGTTTTTGAGTTATCGTGTTACAGACGAACAGACTGACAGACAGACACCATGAAAATATTTTGTATTTAGGTCATTTATGACCCAAGCAACTGATTTTGAATGAAATTAAAAAAAACTTTTTTTTGCCGATCCTAATAGCCTACCATACCTATTGCTATGTTCGGCCAAAAACATGAAAATATCGTTGAAATTTTATGTCCTAAGAATCCTAAGAATCCCAGGTGTTTCTATGGTAATATAATTTCGATTTCATTCTGTGATAGATGGCCTAGGTAAAGGAAACCAGATTGGAATGCTCGGCTTGCCGCCAAAATTTATAATTAACGCTTTTACGTTTTAGCGTTTATTAAAAGCATTTATTAACGCTTAAAGGGGATAAACACTACAAACGTGCAGAATGATTGGGAAGAAACAGGGCACAATAGAACGCAATGGAGAAGAATTGGAAACTCAGTTAACAGCGACAACCAAAAAGTAAAGAGGCAACAAAGTAATGAGATTTTTGAATGTCCGGAGTGCGGAAGAGAGAAAACATCACGTATCAGGCTTTTCAGTCAGAGAAAAGCTCATGAAAGAAAACGCCTTGCGTAACCATCTTCTGATGCTTGTCAAATACTCGTCAGCGAGTAATTCTGGTTTTCGGCACTATGTGTCTGGTTTATGTGCTACTGACGTAAGGTAACCTGTTAGTTCTTTCAGGGTTAAGTCCACACATCCTTCTGCACCTACCTGAAGAGATGGCAGCCTTCTGTGCCGCCTTCGCTATATGAGTATTCCATGTGAGCCTTTGATTAAAAAATAGACCAGAATACCTCTGCTTTTTTTGACAAATGAAACCTCTGTTTCTCGTAGAACCTGTGGTTTTAGATCTTTTGATGTTATGTTTTTGACAATTTGTGCTTTCTGAGCATTGACTGTCAGTTTCCCTTGTCTCTTGTCCCTTGTCACTCTCTACACCACTTATATGTCTATGGTTGTCTGTATTCTTCCTGGTATCTCAGCAAACTTACCCCTGACCACAATAATTACAATGTCGTCTGCATATACTAGACAATAAAAGTATTTATCCTTTTGAATTAGAAATACAAATGAGCTATTTGTACTTGTATTTTAACCACCAATCCAATGGTTCTCATAATATTTGTAATACAAAAATGTGTAATTTGAGAAATGGCTTAGTGAGCAAAGTTTTGTCACATTTAGGGAACATTAGGAAACAGTTACGTATCTGCGTTTTATTGCTTCATAATAGACAAAAGTTGGGTCTGGACACATGTAGGACACATTTCCTTTAAGGGAAATGTGTTCTATCTCTGGGTAGCTGGGTAGGAAATGCTCACTGGGTAGATTAGTTTTTCGTACTATATAGGTTTTACGTCCTTTCCGATATAGTCAAACCGTTTTAAAATACAAATCAATTAAATTCAAGCCAGAATCACATAAGGTACGAGAATATAAACGCAAATTCTCCGAAAAAGACCTCAATTGAAAAAAAATCCTCTGCGTTATCTCTATTATTCAGTCTTCTTTTCGAATCCAATCGAATAAGAATACGAAAAAAAGAGAAAAGATTGAATAAATGAGAGATTCGTATAAAAAGAGGGATTTTCATTTGGATGTTCTTTCTTTATTGCCAAAGTAAGCACCGGTTTGGCTATAATTTTATTTTATTCTTCAATAGATTGTTAAGAAAGCACGTTTTAATGAAGGTAGCATATTTTAATACAAATAAAATATCTTTTAATAATATATTTTAAGTTAACATCGCCTTTTTGCTGCTAAGACTAATCCGGACGGGCTTACTTAGTTTACGCGAAATCCGAACCGCAATCCTCGGCCATATAATCGTCAATGATCTACCGACTTGGAGAGTGTCTAATCGGCTCTTACTCACGAGATATTCGATAACCATGCGAACAGAAGATTCACCAACGCAACGCCTCCACTATTTTCAATTTTAAAAGCTAACAAGAGGACTCGAAAATTAGCCCTTGAAAAAATAATATTACGTCCTCAAGGACTGGAAATCTTGCAATTTACTTGTTCCAGAGTCTTTCTCTTTTATGCTACAGGTCCTTGGAGAATATAATACGCCCTCCAAGTTACATTTTCAACTTTTACTTTCCATCCTTTGTGTTTCGGCAACGGGGCAGCTTAAAATTTCATATCGTTTCTGCTGTCACAATTTTATGCTTTAAATATGACATCAACATAAACAGTTCTTTTTTCCTTATCCATACATATTGGTTCTAAATAATTTCCATATTTATACAGGTACGGACGAAAAGTTACTACTATTCAAAACAGTTAAAACACATGCAGGTGGCGCCTCCCTTCAAATAGGAGTCATATTGACATCAAAATCAAATTTGTAATGTCAAAACACTCCCAGATACCAATTTTCATCGAAATATTGACGTTACTTCAGAAATTATTTAGAAAAAATCGAAATAAACATGAAACTTCTACACTAGGGTGGATCGAAAAATCGAAGTTTTGAAAATCGTTTTGGAATACTGCGCAAAAGTTGCCAGAAACTTATAGAAAACTAATATCTATTTAAAGTTTTTCAATTTTTTTTTTGATCTTCTGCCCTCTACCGGGCTTTAAAGAAAGTAAAAAATAGTAAAAATACAAAAATATAAAATTTTGATTTTTAGCCAAAATTTCAGGTAATAAGTAACTTTTGTAATTTGAAATAATATATCTTATTGAAATATGACATTTTAACCCCCCTACTCAGTGTACCCTATGTATCAAGGTCAAACATTTCTTTTTATAAATACCCAAATATTTACACAATTTAACAAGGAGTTAAAAATGTGTCGAGAAGAGCAGTTTTTCGCTTGTTTAATAATATTTTATGTATTAAGTATTGTTAAACAATCCAGAACTCACCAGGGGGAGGTCACTTATTGATTGTAGTCTTTTTTTGACTCAAATTGTGGCATAAGTTTGCGCGAATCTATTTTTGTCTTTATAAAACTCTCTCTTTTGTATGCCTACAACTCATAAAAATGCTTCGGTTATGGGATGATAAAAGTTCGGATATTGCGTGAACGATTGTCATGTAGCATACATATCAGAAGATTTACGGGATGGACAAAATAGGCATTTCGTTGTATTACAGGGTCTATAACACTTTTTAAATCTTTCTCTAGGTATCGGCTACGTTTTATTGTTCGTAAAACATGTTTGGCACCATTTACACATGAAGAGTTGCATTTAACTTGAAACCATAAAGGAGCATAAACCTTGAGAATAAATTTGGACAGTTCCTTTAATTGTAATGTTGGATTTTCGGTACTAACATAAAGACGTAAGGTGCCAAAGTGAGCCATCGAGAATGACTTAACTTTCCTGGGTTTCGGTTTAATAAATCTACAGAGCACCCACCTGTAGAAACCACAAAACACACACAAATTTCATACAGATATTTCTGATCGGCACTTAAGTCAAGAAAATCCACGTCTGGTAAATCACAGTCGATAATGGTATAGTTCACAACTGGCATATTTTCGCACTGTTGTGTTTGATTTACTATAGTTCCTGCAAAAGCTCTTGGACCTAGGGTTTGACCGTCAAGCTTGTAAAAAAGATGCCTAAGAAGTAACTCATTAGCATGAAGCTGGCAGACCAATCTTTGTAAAAGGCATCCTAATTTTAATTCTAATTGAGAAATTGCACCATTTCTTTTCCTCTATTTACCACGGTTCCGTCACATCCTACTGCTACTAGTTCTTCTAGGTCATATTCATTACTTTATAAGAAGTTCACAATACTTTGACAAACGCTTAGAGATTAGAGCCGATCCAGAACTGGGAACTGTGTGATCCAAAAATATAGAACCCGGCTCCTGAACTAAAGAAATATGTTCTTCAAGTACAGTTCTTCTGTGGGACTTGCCTTCAATATTTTCAATAACATAGGTTTTATCTTTTCTTCCGTCAAAATAAATGGCCTTCAAAGTTTCTGAGGAGTTTTGCTTAAAACTGTTTGTTGTTTGCTGTCTTGCTCTTCTCAGCTTACAACGATCTATAACGTTTTTTTATCGTCTTTGATGACAATTCCAAGGTGGTGTAGCACTGCCGTTGCCACTGCTGCTGCAGATCTATCGGTAGCGGTCACAAACTTTAGCCAGGGTAGGAAGTTTGACAAAAAAATTTGTACACTGGATTTTTCTCTTGATACTGTCATAGGAAGTGGAAGGCAATTTATGATCAATTTTTTCTTGATAAATTGATGTTGCTTTCATGTTGGATGGATTGTTGTAGTTCTTTCCGTTGCATATCTTTTTCCGTTTTGCTGGCCTTGTTTATCAGCTTTGAGGTTTCCATTATGTCAATTTTCCCAATAACCATTTTTCTAAGCCCCCCCTGATCTATAAAAAAAACCTGCTCATTTTTAGGTACTTTTTTTTCTTTTCGCAAAAACATTGGTCAAAAAAATCGTATTTGCATGCGCTGATATCAAACAGGCAAGTATTTTTGGTATGAAATTCTTTTTTTCTTCAATTTTTAACAGCCGGTAGAGGGCAGAAGACGTGATTTAATCAAAAATTTTAAATAAACTTTTTTAGCAACATTACTAAAGGTAACTTTTGGTAGATATTCCAAATCGATTTTTCAATAATATTTTTTTTTCATTTTTTAAGGGCTGGTAGAGGGCAGAAGATGTGATTTTATTAAAAAGTTGTAGTAACACTTTTTTATCAACATTACCAAAGGCAACTTTTCGTAGGTATTCCAAGTCGATGTTTTAAAAATTTTAAAATGTTGAGATTTACGATCCACCCTATTCTACACCCTGTATCTCCGAAACTAAGCATTTTAGAACATACATTTATAGGAACTTTTTTACTTATTTTTATCTGCAGAATATGCTGCCGAAGTTTCCAGAATACAGTTCGGACCACCCTGTATAACAAATTTAAACATTTTTGCCAAAATTTCATTTAGTCAGGTTTATAGGCTTTTGTGTCAATGTTGATATAATTGATGACGTGCATCGGAAAACGTTTTGCGATTACAATACCTGGGCAGCATCCTGTTCAGCAACTGTTCAGTCTTCTTCTTCTCGATGTCCAGCTGTTCGGTCCTCTCTCTGATCAGCTCCTCCAAATTGTTCGAATACTTCTCCAGCATCTGGAACATGGTATCGACGATGTTCACTTTTCTGCCGTGATTCAGCTTCTTGAATAAGTCATGGACGGCGTTGAAATCTGGACGCATGTCCGCCTGTTCAGCCCAACACTGCCTCATGATGTTGATGGCTTCTGGTGGGGCGGCGCCTTTACTCACAGAAGGCCTAATCAGAGGCGGAGGATGTTTCACTTTTTCTATAATTTCTGAAAAGGAAACAAATACTAAATAAGACTACTTCCCTATCTAGAAAAACCTGAATAAACTATGTAGCATGTCGTACTAGGGTGAGCCATAAAAATAACCTATGGAATTTATGGGTTAAAATGAACCTAATAACGAAAAAAATATTCCCGGAAGGCAGGATTTTTAGCTGAATTTTAAAAGGTATCGGTGAACATTCAAAGTTTTCATTTAAATAACACGTAAAAAAATCTTTTTTCATTAAAAGTACCATAACTTTGGAACGGTTTACGATAAAAAAATTAACATCGCGGATTCTTGTAAAGCATAAAATTTCCTAAGAAATCAATATGATAGTAATCTAGATTTTTTTTGCTAAATATAAAAATGTTTAATCAATAAACACTAAACTGCATATCTTGATTTTTTTCTCCAAAAAAATCCTCTATGGGTATTTCGCCACTGCACTGCAAGAAAATCTACAAAATAAAATAGTTATTTTTTGTAAACACTTCTGCGTTAAGCCCAAAAACGGACACTATTTGTCAGAAGTTATGTTTACAGTTATACAAATTTGCCTACCAAAGAAAAAAATGCTTAACGTTTCGAAAAGTTTATCTCTTTCCGTCGTCGGAAGCAAAAAAAATACAAAGAATAAAGAAAAAACTATTTAAAATATTAAGTTCGACTACTCGAAAACACTTCACTTTTTTAAATCTACAAGAAGCCGTTGACGTTCTGTTAAAATGACATTATATCAAGTTAAACTTCAAAACTAACAATATATATATACTACCTGATAACAATTACTTAATAAGGTAAAACCAAAAAGCCCCAAACTTTCTGTATGATTATTTTTAAATTTTACGTATGTTATGTTTATTTATGTTATGTTCTTTAAAATCAAAGAAGCGATTGTCGTATTATGTTATGTTCTTTAAAATCAAAGAAGCGATTGCCGAATTAAAAAAGCCTCTTTTATTTTTCTTTTAGAGGCTATCACTTCTTTCATTATAATTTTGGCGTTTATAAAATTTATTCTGTGCCCTGCGTCCCATAAATGCTGACAAATCTTAGATTTGTGAAAATCTCCCTTTCTTAAATAATCTTTATGTTCTTTAATTCTAACATTTAAGGGTCTAGATGTTTCACCAATGTAAAATTTATCGCATTCACATGGTATTTGGTATATTACATTTTTTGTTTGTCGTTCTGTATTCATTGGTTTAGTATGTGATAAAATGGATCTTTGATTTTTTTCACTTTTCAAACGTTTCAAATATACGAATTATTGAATTGAAAAACATTACTCTCAGATAGATTTTTTAGTAAATTTCATGCTCTACAAGAATCCGCGATGTAAAATTTTTTATCGAAAACCGTTTCAAAATTATGGTACTTTTAATGGAAAAATATGTTTATAGGTGTTATTTAAATGAAAATGAATGTTCATAGAAACCTTTTAAAATTGAACTAAAAATTCTGCCTTCCGGGCATATTTTTTTCTCGGTTATTAGGGTTATTTTAACCCATAAATTCCATAGGTGAGTTTTTTGGCTCACCCTAATGTCGTACAGTAAGTTCGATGGATCACTAGTATCTAAATATATGCATACCTTCCGGTGTAAGGGCCAACATACAAAATGGTTCGCCTCTGACAACAACTTCCTGTAAAATTATCCCAAAAGAGTATACATCGCCTGGTTGTGTACCTCTTTTCCTCAAATTGTTGTGGCGTAGAAGTTCCGGAGCTGTCCAAAGTAATTCTACAAAAAAATATATCATGCAATTAACCTTAACAAATTTCTTCTGCTAATTGTAATAATTAGTGTTAGAGATTCTAGATTGTAGTGAGGGAGGAAGTTATCCCCGCGAGCTTAATAAAAGCTTAAATTTATTGTGTCCTCCTTTCTTGAGTTATAACTCATCATACAGTCTTAGGGCTTTGACAAAAGTCATTATCTGAGACGATTTTACAGAAAATAGTTCACCATTTCCGATATCAGTGTGTTTGGTGGTATCCCATTTTCTCCACAGAACCTGCATTTGCCGTTGTTTATTAGCTTCTCTATTATCTACTGAGGTGTTCAATGAGGAGACAGTACCCAGTTAAAAACCCCGTAACCATACGAAGATTGAACTTACTTAAATCAAGGAAGATCCTTGATTTTTTTCGGTCGTGAGTTCTGAGAAATTTGTCCCAGTGTATTGTATTTTGTATTCTACTAAGAGTGAGTCCCAGGTGGGACCCTCCACTGAGGCCGCGAGTGCATTGTGGCTCAGTTTCTACAAGGTCTTTAATAGAAAAAGAGCATTAAAGTTCGCCCTCAAGACCCAGCCTTTTAACATAGGTCGTTATGTCCGAGGGTGATATGTCTTCTAGGTCTGATAGGTCTAGCGTGGGTTTGCCAAACACCTTAAACCTGGTCCTGCCCCCAGCGGGGCAGGTACACATAACGTGCTTCATTGTTTCGTCATCTTCCATACAGAGTCGGCATTCGGCGTCTTCCACCAGTCCCATCCTCTGTAGGTGTGATCTCAGCCGGCAGTGGCCCGGTGACCCAGCGGTTCCAGTGTATCTATAGTTTTATTTTTGTTTAGGTACTATAAACTTTTTGCCTGTCTCTGCTTTGGTGAATTTCTCTACGATTCTAGAGGTTTGTTGGATTTGGTATATACAGTATGTCCCCGGATTGTCTTTACAAGAGGAAAACCTTTTTTATTATTGACATTTTGAGAAAAATGCATTTTTTCTCTAAAAAAAAGTTTCGTGTTCTAAAATCGGTAATGCCGTTTATACTTTTCCAAATTTCCAAATCGTTTTAGAGAAAATTAAAAAAAACATGAAAATAGGTATAATTGAATTTTTAAATTTCAATTATTATTAACATAAAAACAAAATTTTTCAAAAATTCAACCATATTTTCATGTTTTTCTTAATTTTCTCTAAAACGGTATGGAAGTTTGGAAAATAATAAACGGGATTAACCATTTTAGAACAAGCAAATTTTTTTATGAAGAATGCATTTTTTGCAAAATATCAATAATAAAAAAGGTTTTCAATAATAAAAAGACAATCCGGGAACATACTGTAGAGTAACATAGTGTTTAATTTTGTTTTGCAAATTGGATTAGATAGACGATGTGCATCTTCCGATAGTGTTCAATATGTCGAGCAACATATTTTGTCAAAATAATTATTGAATAATTATATTAATTGATGATAAGAAATATTTTAAAAGTATTTGACAAAAAATATTTTTGTAAATAAGACAGTCAGTGGTAGAGTAATAAAAAAATTAACCTGAACTTCAATAAAATCTCTTTCGAGAGTTAAATCTCTTTCTCTAGAAATATTTTTAACTTTATCAAATTTACCAAAACTTTTTAATACGCCATAAAATCGCAACTTCAATTTACAACCCTTCAAAATATTTTCCAAAGTCCAATTTTCAAAAGAAATTAGAATATTTATTCTACAACGCCCTGCTCTGTTAGTGCTCCAGTGCGATCAAACTTTCAAAAGGTATCTTTACAAAAGGACTTTTTGTTCTGGATAGAGAGCCGCGTAATAGAGCAGCTGTATCCGACTTTTATGGCCGACTTTTAGTTTCCTAATAGCTTCGTTAATAATGAATAAGGAACGCATAACACCGGCCTCGCTCTAACGAGAGAAACTTTAATATTAGCGGTAAACCGGTCGTAAATATCTGGGGATTATAAAAAAGAACAAATTAATTCGTTTGAAGTTCGAATATTTATGCAAACGATATTAGTAGTTGTTTATTAAATTGAAAATGGAGATGTAGATTGTTTGGGAGGAGATAAGTCAGTTCATCCGTGATCACCCCCTTACGGCCTGAGCTGCAATCTCACAGAAAAGTCTTTATTCCGAAATTTAAAAAGACTAAAGTAATTAAAAAAATTTAAATCTTATAAAGATTTAAGTCAGTTGAGAAAAGATTTCAAGCGACAGCCAGGCAGCATATCAAAAACACCAACACTCGCTACCCGTCATAGTAAAATAAAAAAAAAAATAGTGTAGGAAGTTAAAGACCAAGTGGTTTTTCAGGACAATTTTAAATTTAACAATCATTACAGCTACCTTATTAACAAGACATATAGAATTCTTGGTTTTGTTATGCGTAATAGTAAAGATTTCGATATACAATCAACTGCAAGACTTTATACCTCTCTTGTAAGACCGCATCTTGAATATGCGTCAAAAATCTGGTCTCCCAATTGTTACACTCACAGTAACGAGATTGAGAAGGTTCAAAAACGTTTCCTTCGTTATATTTACATTAAAAGAAACAACATGTATCCAGCAATGATCTCTTACAGATCAATGTTGATAACATTTCAGTTAACTTCGCTGGCCTCTAGGGGAAGGACACAGGCTGTCATCTTTATGTATAATATTCTTAATGATTTAAAATATGCTGGCAGTGGTCTGATTAATAGCATCAAACTTAGTGTACCAAAGATTAGGTTGAGAGTGAGTGAGTTTAATCTTTTTTACATTGATGGTGGAAGCCCCCCGCCATTCACGTTTATGCTCATCATTTGTAACGATATATTGTCAGGCAACACAATTCCCGATATGTTTAACATTAAGTTTGGCGAACTTAAGCGTATCTTGTTGTTGCATCAGGAGACAAATCTGGTGTGATAGGTTTCATTGATTTTTTTATTGCACATTTTATAAATTAGATGTTATGTACTTCATTATTATATTATATACTTTATTTATATTATTTTTAGTTTTGTGGTACATGTTGATTTGTCTAGTTTTAAGTAATTGTGAATGTATTTGTTTTCTTTAGGCCTTTGCATGTAGCTACCTCAATAGGTGTTTGTAAAGAGTAAAATAAAATAAAATGTCTAGTTTTAAATGCATTTTTTTACCTTGTATAATTATTGTATGAAAAAAAAGACCTTTGTTATAATAAAGACCCTTGTTCCTTCGTAATATAAACCCTTGTTCGATCTCCATATTCCTATACGGGTCATGAACTGTCAAAAGCGCTGATAGACACCGTATAGATGCATTTGAGATGTGGTGCTGGAGGAGAATCCTCCGTATCCCATGGACAGCTCCAAGAACGAACCAGTCAATTCTCAATGAATTCGGCATCACAGATCGATTATCCACCATCTGCCGTAGACGCATCCTGCAATACTTCGGTCATATCACTAGGCAAAGTAGAAGGCCGAAGACCCAGAGGACGATCACCATCAAGATGGCTTGACCAAATAGAAAATATTACAGGTCATCCATTTCAATCAAATCTCCGAGAGGCCGAAGATCGTCAACGATGGAAGATCAAAATCACTAGCTGCGCATAGCCACAATGTCACGATTCTTCAGACATGAAGAGACAACGAAGAAGAAGAAGAAGAAGAAGAAGAATTAAGTATGGGGTCTTATTTAAAGAACGACAGCCCTAGAATTCTAAAATAAATACTTTTATTTTAAATAGTTTTATTCTTAATAATAATTAGTAATCCAACGAAATTAATATTATCATTTAAAAAATAGATACTTAAATTGAATTCTGGTTGTCTTGACTTAGGGGTAATTGTATTGATTTAAGTCATTTCACTGACTTAACTTGCAGATAACCATTAAGTCAAAAACATAGACTTATCACATCTAAACTTTTTTATTTGTACATAAGTGATATTGATAAAACTAATATACTTATAAAATTCTCGTGTCATAGTTTAGTCATGCTCCTCCGAAACGGCTTAACCAATTTTGATAAAATTTTATATGTATATTCAGTAAGTCTGACAATAGGTTTTTATACCCCTAAGTGATAAGGATGGTCCACCCCAAATTTTTATTTTATTTTTTGGACAACATTTTTATATTTTACAATGTGGCATTAAAAAATACATTCAACACTAAATTTTCACCGAAATTCAATAATTTTAATTTAACAACAAATTGTTAGAATGCCTTAAATTAAAAACATGAGTCTGATTGGGTATATACCGGATATAATGTTATTTGCCCAAATTCACTATACCATTTATTGACCCTTTGGGTATATACCGGGTGCAAAACTTGGGTATTTACCCAAATTTCATTATACCTAGTACTTGCCCATTACTGACCTTAGCCACAGCAACGCGTGGCCGGATCTGCTAGTATTATAATAAATTCAGGAAGTTTCTTGAAGATTGAAAGGAATAAATAGTTCTTTTTTATAGTATTAACACACACCTTAATTTTTTTTTAATAAAATAACTCGATTAGATTCTTTCAGTTTTATACCGATTTTTTTTAAAAAAGTGGTAATTTGTCACAAAATTTTAAAATATTTTAATTTCCTGCTTCGCATTCCAATTGTACCAACTTATTTCTTTGTAAAACCAAAATAAACTACTATGAAATTAAAATGACAGACTCTATAAAACTCAAAACAGATTATAATTCGAGCTCAATAAAAATTAGCTTCAATACAATTACCCAATTTAGTTAATGACCCTGTTAAATATTTTAAGGGGCAAATAACAGGCCACTAAACGCACAATTCGGGGGCATTAGTAAGGGGATATCGCGTCAAAGCGAACCTTATTTATGGCGCCTATTAAAGACCGTTCAATCTTCTGCCAACAAGGCCAGATCTATCCACAATCGTAATTTGGGACCGGAGCAATTCCTTCGGACGTATAATTAATTCTCTCGGCGTTCCGTCCTGAGACTGACCGAGATTAATCTCTATTGAATCGTAGGCTTAATCTTAGATCGGGTAAA